GGAGGAAGATATGTACCTCAGGACTGCTGGGAAGTGAGAGAGAAAGGCAGTCCTAATATCTCCCTTAAAGGCACATGCTCTCCCCAGTGACCTAACCTCCTTCCACTAGGCCCCAATTCCTAAAGGTTCCACCCCCTCCAAGTAGCACCACAGAACGCTGACCAAGCCCTCAATTCATGGGCCTCTGGGGGACATTCAAGATCTAAACTAAGGAGATTATATTGATGAGTTGGCTGACTCTGTGGATATCAGGATAGTATCAATGGAAGAACCTGGAAGACTGAGTTGGCCAAGGAGTTGTCCCATCTGAGGAGCAAGGAGCTAGGCTATTTATTCACAAACTCCCACGGCAATAGTTGAAGGGTGTTCTAGGAGGAATTAACTCCCAAGCATTTCCCATTTCTTAGGAGTGTGGCCTACTCCTGCAGCTGGAGAAGGCCTTCAAGCAGTCACTAGTGTTTACATGAAATGTGGGACAGCAAATGGGAACATTAATGGGCCAGGAACCTACTGTACCTACTATATGATTTCCTCACTCTTTTCTTATAGTACTGGGAATAGAACCCAGGGCCTCACATATGCTAGACAAGTGTTCTATCATTGAGCTACACCAGCCCTTAATTTATTTTTATTCTAAGACAGGGTCTTATTATGTTGCTCAGATTGGCCTCAAACTTATTATCCTTCTACCTCAGCTTCATGAGATGCTGAGATTACAGACATGCTACTACATGATTCTTTTTTAATTTTTTCCCTGGGGATTAATCCCACCCAGGGCCTCACCACTAARCTACACTTTCATTCCCCAACTTAATGGGTTCTTTTCCTAAAGTGCCAGAGAATCTGTCTTAGGGGATTTTTTAGGCTGATTCACCCCAAGTTTTTACCTTATCTCACCGTTCTGGAAGGTGAATTCAGGGTRGTTGGGACCAGCTCAGGAATGATCAAATTGAATAGTCTTGTGGAATAAGTATTGAGACTTAAATAATAAAGACTAATAAAGACTCCACAATTATATTGAACCCTTGTAGTTTTGCTGGAGGAATGGATGGCATTCTTGGCAGAACTCAAGAGATGTGAAAGAGAACCAGGTGTTATTGTGGGAGGTGTAACTAAGACATTGCTGTCAAAGTGCTCTGTCACAGAGCAGGTACCTTCCTGAATTGGGTGAATTATGAACCATGACTTGATACTGACTGGTAAGACCATCTAAAATTAATATGGGAACCACATAACAGTCTATATTATTTTACATTTTGATTGTTGACTAGTTAATGCAATTGTATGCTTCAACTTCAGTTGGTGTAAAACGATATAATTTTTTTCCCCTTATGCCTGACTGCTACCAAGAATTCAAAAGGCAATAACTCTTATCAGTTTCTAGCATAGTGTAATGACTGTGAGAGGGGTATTCCCGGTACATAAGAAAAAGACCCGTTATTGAAAAGGTGTCTACAATTGCCTTGATTTCATTATGACCTTGGAAAAAAGACAACATGATAAAACCAGTAACTAAGATCTGCTAAGCCTGCTCCAGGTCAAAGAGGCTTTTTGGTTTACTGTAAGATTTTTTTTTGAGTGGCAAAAACTTTGCATGTTGTTACTTGAAAAATTTTCCTTATTGTGGTAGATTAGAAATTCCTGTAAGTCTTTCATGGGAGTTACATCTTCAAGAATGTCCAGTGACCCACYGGCAGGGATTGTGGCACCAAGTTCCTGAGTTCTAGTGTAATCTGAAGGACCAGACAGGTAGCAGTCTGGTTTGGTTTCTTATATTCAGTATTTTCTTAATTGGCAGTTGGTCAGCGTAGATATCATAAGACATAAGAATTCTATTTTTCAAGAGGATCTTCTGATCCAAAGGAGAAAAGGTGGTGGCAAAGTGTTTGACCTAAATGGTTTCTGTGTGGTGCCTCAGTCAGGGAAGTTGAAGGGTGGGTGGGAGATGGAAATTACATTCTGTAGGCCAGAAGTTTGGATTTTGTAGTGGCATGAATATAGGTGTACCAGAAAATTCAGCAAGAAATCATTCCTATTTCTTGACTAATTTAAATAAACAAAAATGGCAACACATACACACCTACAGATTGCAGAGAAACCTCTCCATGATTTGACTTCTCAATAATCTGCCAGTGCTGTGGTTTCTGTCATCTATTTTAACTATAACCTGACATTCCCCAAGTATCACTACCAAGTCCCTTATAGCTAAGGAGTTTTGGGTTTTGGTTGGGAACATGGGGAAGTATGTAACAAGCTTGATTGTTTTGCTTAACCTGTGTCATTCCAGGAGAAATTCACACCCAGGAARGACATACCGAATATGGACATTTAGGAGCAAGCTGATGTTAAGATGGTATTCAAAGTGTAAGAAATTTTCAATCAAAAAAAGAAAAAGAAAAAAGGAGTTTCTTTGGGTAAATACATGTGAAGGGAAATGGGAAGGGACCAGAGGCTGAGAGAGGGAGAAAGAAATAATTACTGAWCTTGTCAGGATCACAAGGCCCAGCCTTTTCTCATCTCTGGATCCTTATATAATGTGTTGTGCCTTTCTGACTCCTCTGTTTTTCTCATTACCCCTGACTAGACTTAAAATCCCAGCTCAGAGGCCTTCCTTTCCAGGAAACCCTAGCCCCTTGCCTCCTCAGAGCAGTGAGGGCCACACATCATGATACTTCTCTGCTCTCTACAATATGGACCAATTTTTCACCCTCAATTACAGGGTGCCTGGCTGGGGTCAGGGGCTGACAGGGATATTGGCATAACAAGGCAGAACTGAAAAAGTACAAGAGGGGTCTCCCCAGGGAGGAAATACGGGCAGAGCTCTGAATKCGACTTTCCTTCCCAAGTTCTTTCCCTCAGCAGCCTTGGAGAGGGGGAAGCAGGGAAAGGGAGCTTTTCAGAATTGGGACTCAGCACTAGTTTCTATCCCTGGTTTTAGCTCCACCCCAGAAGTGAGTGGAACAGTTATTAGATATTAGTCCCATTTTACAAACTAGGAAGCTCAGACCTTGAGAAGGTAAAAGAAATACCTTACCAAGGGTCACAAAGGCAGAGATGGATTACAAGTCCTTCTATACACAGGAGATGAGCATTCAAAAACTACCTGTTCAACAAAGGACTCCTGTCTCTCATATACCCAGGTAGACATGATTCTGATCTTATGTAGAGAAATGTACAATTTGCAAAATGCTGTTATTGGGGAATTGGGAAAGGAACAAAAGCAGGAAACAAATTATATTGGCATAAGATCCATTGTTTTCAGAGTACTCCCATTAAGGTACTCTGGTGCAAGAAGCTACTCCTCCTGTACCCTGGATCCGATTCAGCCCAGAGAGGGCGATACTTCTGCCTGCTACCTTCTTTCCTTAGCCAGAGACATGCAATTGAACAAGTATATAGGGAGTACTATTGAAATATTCAGCAGCTTTTGGGCTACATCATCCTGGTTATTCTGGGATATGGTGGTGACAGTGTGGCAAAACAGGGGAGAGGAGGTCAAGAGCCATCCTGGGTCATTACTTCCAAACTGCTGCTGAGTTGTGGCCTATTGAGTGAAGAGTGGATTTATTAATTCTGGACAAAGATCCATGGCCAGTTAACAAGCCTGTCTTTCTACAGACTTATTCCTGGAACTCTGAGTCTGGATCAGCCTTGAAAATGGGGAGTTCAGAGGCCAACTCCTATCCTCAGCTTAGTTATSAAGAAACTGGCCTGCTCTGATCATCTGTCCCAGGAAAGAAGTCTAAAGTAGCTGTAATCTGGAATTGGCTCAGGTGCAAAGTAACTGATGAGGCATTTTCTCAGACCTTGGGGTACCTCCCAGAAATGGACACCTGATCAGGGCACCTCCTCAACACAGGCCCCCACCAGAGTTCAGGAGTCCTCTCACACTGTGCCTGCTGAGGCTAAGCAGCAAGGAGAGAAGTTGCACAGAAGTCCTGAGCCTCAGCCTGCCCTGAGGGTGGGCTGGGCTACTGCACTGGTCATTTCTTGGAGCCCCAGTGGCTAGTTCCAAGGTCTGAAGCCTGTAAAGAAGAGGCCCCACACATCCCAGAAACCAGCTCACCCATTTATTTGACTGAGAACATTAAGAAGGACAACAAAATTAAACAATCTTTAATAAAATTCCTATAGAAAACTCAGTCACAGGGTGAGCACTCAGTTATCTTCCCCATTATTGAGGACTGAGAGCTCCCAATATTCTTTGGAGAATGAGCAGTAGTTTTGCTGGATGTTGCCAGTACTCAGAGCATCCATTTACACATTCAAACCAGTAGTTCCTATTGCACATATTAACATTATTTGCCACCTAGCACCCTACATATATGGTACCTCAACAAATAAATAAGACATTTCCATATGGCATGAAACCATTTCAATTTGAATTAATATCCTTGAAAAAAATCACATTAATACAAGTTTTAATAAATACAGTAAGAACAGCTGGTATTTTACTAAAATACTGAATTTTAGGTCTGAAGATTATTCCATAAATAGGTTCTTTTTCCTTTGCTTGCTTTCTTGGATACATTTACTCAAGTATTAAGCTCTATGAAGTGAATTCTTTCATAGATACCATATAAAAACTGTATTAATATGCGCCTCATTACAGAAGCAGCTGGAAGAACTGGATCACACAGTTAACTGAAAAGTAACTTAGGAAAAAGCTCTGCTTTTTTTTAAACTTCAAAACACAGACTGAAGAATACCAAAGAAACATCATTTTATATAGAACTCCCACTAGAAATTTTATAAATATATATATGCAGCATATTTATATATATATATAT